GGATCATAACCCTTCAACAAACCCCCAAATCCCTCAACTGGAGGTCTTCATTGGATCAGACTTTGGTATTGGCTACCTGGGGACTATCAAAGAGTCTTACTACCAGTTGCTCAGATGCGAATCTTGCAATCTTGCGCCCACGCCCAAAACCCTTTGGAAACCTTGGCCTCACTAAGCCAGGGCCCCAAACAAGCACATAAGCAAACATTAGGCTAGGGATATCCCATTAATATAATATGAACCCCCTTTACAATGAAGCCCAATGAGGTAGGATATCCCTATCCCTATAAAATGCTCATTCTTATGTGCTTTTTGGGTCCCTCATAAGCCAGGGAGCGAACTTGGCGCCTCCACTGTCGGGAAGGTGACATGCAAGTCGCGGTGGTCAGGCATGTCCTGCAAGAAAAGGTGCCGTAATAATTAGAATAAGGTTTTGAGGTCCATTCTCCTAAAAAGTGTATATAAGCAATTGGTTGTCCTGTAATATAGGGGCCTTCATAAATCTAGAAGAGGGTTTTGGGGCCCATTCTCCAAAAAAGTATAATTACTTAGAGGATCATGGGACTTAGTAAGTAGGTTATATATAACTGGGGTTATAAGTCCCCTAAGTGGGGTTATCCTAATTATAACCTACTTATAACCTTACTTACTAAGTCCCATGAGCCTTCAAGTAGGTCCCTATATTTACTCTCCCAGCTCTGATCCCCAGATCCAGGGCTTCGAGTTGGTTCAAAGGGAGGGGTTTGGTCTTGTGGGATTCAGGGGTTCGGGTTTATTTTTTATTTTTTTTTGAGCTCCTTCTCTCCCATCCCCTGCGGTCTGCGAAGAGGCTATAAAGCCAGGACAGCGGGTTTATGTTTATGGTGTAGGGCTTCCTCACTGTCACTGCAACACGACCACCAAGAAGGGCAAAGCTGGAAGACCCTGCAGACGCAGCCCAGGAGCTTGGCTAACCGGTCGTTAGATACTACCACGTATGCAGATTCTGGCATGAATGTGGGGAATAGAGTTTTTTTTAAAGTGTAGTAGGAATAGAGTTTAGAATATAGGGTTTAGAGTATGGGAAAAGCTGGGTCTCAGGACCGGAAACCCTCAACACCAAAACCTTGCCCTCAACTGTTCAAACCCCAAGCTCCAGAATTTTAGTCTCAAATTCTACAGCCCCATCATACGCCCCGAAATTCTTCGACCTCGGTTCTAAACTCCAGATTCCTGCAATCTAAACTCCCAAACTCTTCTACCCTATTCCCTCAGTTTTCAATCCTAATCCCTAAGCTCTTACACCTAAACCAGAGCTAGGGTTGGGGGTTCAGGGGTCTAAACCCTTATAAGCCCTAAACGCCAGTTAGGCAAGACGCCGGCTTCCATCCGAACTTCTGCACCATGCGGCTCTCCATGCCAGTCATCGCAGCATGCCTCTCCACCTGCCGTGTAAGTTTACGCTTCAGGCTTCAGTGTCAGTTACTTGTTTAGAGTCTAGGGTTTACGGCTTCGGGGTCGAGGGTGACGGGTATATGGACTCTTTTTGGTACTAAGGCTCCCCTACCGCCCTAAGGGTCCCTGTGATCTAGAATTCCTGGGAAAGAGCAGGGCTCTAGAATTCCTAGGAACCTGAGGAGGCCTGGTTTGGGTTTAGGGTTTGGGGGATTTAGGGTTGAGGGTCGGGGTTGTGAAGTCCCCAACCTAAAGGCCTAAAAGCTCTGCACAGCACAGTTGAGATGTTCGACATCTCGATGCAGAGCAGTAGAAGTTGTGGTGATGGCGGTAGCAGGTAGCAGCAACGTATAACACCTAGAAGGCGCCCTTCAAACCAGCAGTTAGAACCGAAACGCTGAACTGGCTTTGAGAGTCTAGGGACTGGGGCTAAGGGGCTGTGTCGATTGCGAGGAAGGCTCAGTTCAGGGTGGCATAGTTGGAGGATCATGGGACTTCGTAAGTATGGTCATAAGAACCAAAATTGGGGTTATAAGTATAGTTACCTTAATAATAACCGTAATTTCTAAGTCCCATGATCCTTTGAGCAGTCTGAGTGGTGGGGCCAGAGACACCCATGTTGAACTGAGGCTCTTCGTCTAGAACGAGGAGGGTTTCCCTATGAGTTCCGGGTTCCGATGCCCTTCGTGGATCGGGCTTCGTTGGGCTTTCGGTTTTTGCTCCCCCTCCCCCCCTCCCCCCCCTCCCCCCCCTCCCCCCCCCCCTCCCCCCCCCCTCCCCCCCCTCCCCCCCCCTCCCCCCCCCCCTCCCCCCCCTCCCCCCCCCTCCCTTCCCGTCTTCCTCGCCCCCGCTTTGGCTTCGTCGTCAACCCACTGCCTTCAGGCTCTTTCTGTGTTGTTTTTTCTTGCTCCGGGCGGCATGGCTGGAAGGCCTTAACCGGTTTGCAGGAAAACAAAGACAATGCAGCGACCAGCATGCACTCTCACTTCGAGTCTTTTTTGGACCAGTGTGGCATGCTTCGCCCCCCCCCCCCCCCCCCCCCCCCCCCCCCCCCCCCCCCCCCCCCCCTCCCCCCACCCTCCCCCCCCTCCCCTACCCATTCTCTTCGCACTTCGTATCAACAACCGTGTAAAGGTTGGGGTTTGACAGGCCGCCCTAGCATAAAAAAACATCGACTGCCCCCTCGCCCTGCCGCTACACAGCCGAGGCGGGCGGCGTAGCGTTAAAATTAGGGTAACCCCAGTTAGGGGACTTATAACCCCAATTATAACCGACTTACTAAGTCCCATGATCCTCTAAGTATGAGTGCCGGTCCACTGCTGAGGGCCTTGCAAGGAGTTGGAACCCGGTTTACCAACGGCCGGGCTCAGGCTGAGGCTTAGGATTTACGGTGTCCAGATCTTTGGGTTTGGGCTCTACGGCTTGCCTTACCTGTAACCGAAACAGTCACAGAACTGCATGCTTCTGAATCCTACACCTGAGTCCCTAGACCCTCAACCCTAAAGGCTGGAAGGCCCTGATGACATTGTCTCCTGGGCTCTGGAAATCGCGCGTATCCCCGCCTTGAGCTCTCCAGGATTAACGGGTGCACTCTCGCAAGCTCCCATGGTGCCTTGGCGGTGTCCATGGTTTTGGGCTTTGGCTTTGGGGACCGGGTTTCTGAAATAGATAGCTCAATTGATAGGAGCAGCTGCTAGTCTGCCGAAATGAACGATTCATAGGAGAAGCTGTGCCGATAGCCCCTCTCGTATCACCCCGCCAGCAGCTCCGCGGCTTCCGACTACCCTATCTAAGGAGCTCTTATTCATGCCAATGTAGGTTCCGGGGTCACGGGACCACAAGGTCAGGATTTGAAGGCTTGGGCCTAACACCAAATTAACAGAAGTAGCCTTTCTCGAAGAACGTCAGAGCCAACGACTTGCGGCTTCGCATCCGAGCACTTTCCAAAAAGACCCCAACTCAGATTCGGTGCAGCCGCGAGGCTGTCTGCTTCGCGAGCGAAAAAAACCGAAAGAGTTGTGGGTGCTTTGCGCGGTGAGCTTGGGCCAAGAACAAAGGTCGCCTGATTGCACTGCCTCGTAGAAGGCATTAAACAATTTCTACAGAAAGGATTCTTGAAGGGATTGATGTGGCTTGGCAAAGGGTTCATGTTTTATGTGACTTCGGGTTAAGATGGTTTAGGGTTTCAGGGTTTAGGCGTTTAGGACCGCGAGAGTAAAAGGCTAAGGGTTAAATGGCAGCACCCCACCTCGACACAAACACTTCACTCCAGACATTCGAACCCTTCGAACCTGCAAGATCATCCACACCGTTTGCCAAAAATGCTCCGATCGACACGCTAATCAACAGGGCACTATACCATAGACCCCTATTGTAGAACTCTTTTAGTAACCCTTAGAGACCCCTTTAAAGGAACCCGAGGATGAGTAGAAAGAACAAGCGCTCTGGTCGGGTTAACGACGGAAGTGTTTTCAAGAAAAGGATCCTAACAAACTTGACTATCAGGTTCCCGAGCAAGAAAACCACCATAAGCCCTAGCCCCCCCCCCTCCTCCCCATACCGTAGCGGTAACCCCAAACCCTCAGCTTGACACACCGATCTTGCGACAGCCTTTGGTTTTTGACAGTGGCGCCGCCGATAGGTCCGCTATATATACCTATCAGGGGCACTGGGAGGGCAAGACACTGCCTCTTTGTGCCGCTGCTTCATTTCCGCAGCCTTCCGCTCAAAACTATCTGGCCAAAGCCTTTTGTAACTTTGTACCAGTGCTATACATGGATCTTCCCAGAGAAACCAGCGAGCCTTAGTACATTCCTCAAAAGAACTACTTTCTGCGATTTTCAGGAATCCTCTTCGCCCCTTAAGCGATCTTGGGCTCTCCGGATCTTTGGTCTTGTTGGTGCGCCTGGAGAGCTGGGAAAACACTGAGTTTACAGGATCCTCGGCTCCTCAGGAAGACTGGGGGGCGGTCCCGCGCTCCACGAACCTCGGAAGTCTTCAATGGGAGCCCTTGAATTGGGTGGTTGTGAAAACTAGGGTTCCTTTTTGGGGGTCCGTATTATATTACGGCACCTAATATTCAGGGCATCCAAAGAGGGACCTTAATTTTGACAACTGTTCACATAGGGCTTGCACTAGACTCATGCCTTTGACGAACGTACTCCTAACACTAGCCATCTTTAATCCATGTTCCAACTGTCTAGGATTGTTCAGAACCCTGCTGTAATGTAAGCCGATCGGAGGCTACCTGCAGGAATGTTTTAGAGGACGTCTTGGCATTTTGCAACTGTCAGAACCCGGATGGATGAACCACACAGAAGTTGCCTAGTGATTAGTAACCGCCAACATTCAGATCCAGGTAGTCCTTACAGTACTGTTAGACCTAAACACATTATGCAAGGATACCCTAAGCAGCACATACGGCCGATGTAGGGCCTTAGAGCTCCAGGTTTCCACTGGTTATGTTTGTTCACTTGTTTACATGGAGGTGCTAAGCTCTGGTCTTCGGCGAAGCTGCAGCTCGTCGCTGAAGGAAAGGCGGAGGAGGACTGCATCCTTGGCTACACTCACTTCTTGGCCGGCTTCGTGGATGCATTCTTGAAGCCCTCCACCCAGTTGATGGCCCAGAAGTCGGAGGCGAGGGAGGGGTGGCAGATGTACTCGTAAGGCATGTAGAAGTAGCCCTTGTCGCCCCACCTTAGGATTTATGGCACGAAGACTTGGGAGGAGCAGTCAAGAGCTACTGTGATTCCAGGGTCCGAAGTAACAAACACCGGAAACGGCAACTTGAACTGGCTGGGCTGCCCCTCGCCCCAGGAGTTGCGGACAATGAAGCACTGCTGGAAATCGTCGTAGCCCACGGCGCACACGGCATGGCCGCCCAGCTGCTGGTCGTTCGCCTGGGGCATCACCATCTTGCCGGTCCTGGCAACCTCCGCTGTCTGGAAGCTTGACAGGACGGCAAAGCCGAAGACGAAGGGGTAGCCGCTCTTGATGCACATCTTCATCTGGCTCAGGTCCTGTGCAACGCGGGCATAGCCCATGACCCTGCACTTCTGCGCGATCTCGTATGCCTGCTGGTTGGGCTCCTGCTTGAAGAAGCTCGGGCCGTCGTCGTACTTCCACACACTCTCGGGGCACACGCCGACCTTGGACATCGTCTTGATGCCGTCGCGGATCATCGCTCCAGCATCCTGGTTGACGCTACCCTCAACCAGGCGCTCGTTGTAGTAGATGAACAGCCGGCTCGGGGTGAAGTCCGCGAAGTCCTACAACATGTCAGCATCCACTCTTCAGATTTGCACCTCCTCGTCGTGAACCCTGTGCCTTGAACCTTCCCCTAGCTCCTGCACTACAGCCAACCGCAGTTTAACCGTGGACGGGGCATCCTTCCCTTGCGCTGTTCAGTCTGTTGGATCCTAAGCCACAAGAGTTTCTGGTTCAGAATGGCACCCATTGCCATCCGCTTCTAAGTTCACGGCTAGAGCTCCGTGGTGTTCGGCTTAGGACATTCCGAAGTTGAACAGTCGCGATAGGCACCCAAGCCTAGACGCCCTTCCTGTTGCGCTCCTAACACCCTCACAAAACACTCAAACTCCAAGCCCAAAAACTCTGAACCCCAAATCCCGCAAGCAACCCTCAAAGCCTAGCATAAACGAATTGCGATGTCCTACTTGTCGGGTATCATGGGGAACTAAAGGTTAACCTTTCTGGTTATATAGGGATTATATAGGGACTATACTACCCAAAAAAGGTTAAAGGTTGCCTGCTCTACTACTAGGATGTCGAATCTGGCTCCCAGACCCCTACATAAACCCTCTAAAACACATGCCCGGAAGCCCTGTGGTTGTCCATGTCTACAGTCCCGAATCCCCCTACTGCGAGGTCCTTGTGTACTTTTTCCGCCCGTCTCGACGGGCCTAGACGTGACTTTTATCTGGAAAAGCTAGGGTTCAGGGGGCTTAGGGAATCCCAAGATTTACTTTCGACAAGGAGCGTGTACCTCCATCGATTTCTAAATGAAGCTGACAAAGCATCGTCAGGAATCCTTACACTTGCTTCTGATCGGAATTCCAACTTCTGTTCTGACGTCTATGCCAAGCCCTAAGCCACCAAACAAACCCTCCTTGTGGTTCTCCACCTCCATCTTGTGGAGAGTGAAATGGAAGGCGGCTGCCAAGGCGTTCGCCGTGCAGCTTCCCAGATGACCCTGGTCGAAGATGGGGAAGCCACCTCACACTCCGGGTTTAGGGTTTAGGGTTTAGAGATTTACTTAAAGGAACATGAGACTTTGTAATTACAACCCCAATTAAGCCTCACATTAGAACGCTGGGGTTTAGGATCTCGGGTCGTCGTCGTAGTGGTGGGTAGTGGTGGGAGTAGGAGTAGTTGGAGTAGGCCTAGGAGTCGTCGTCGTATGTGAGAAGCAGTAGTAGTGCTAGTACTAGTACCACGTAGCAGCAGCAGGAGGAGGAGGAGTAGTAGTAGTAATTAGTAGTAGTAGTAGTAGTAGTAGTAGTAGTAGTAGTAGTAGTAGTAGTAGTAGTAGTAGTAGTAGTAGTAGTAGTAGTAGTAGTAGTAGTAGTAGTAGTAAGTAGTAGTAGTAGTAGTAGTAGCAGTACCAGCAGCAGCGGCAGCAGCAGCCTGAAATACCCTCCAACCCTGAACAGAAGCGGCCCCACGTCGAAGCCCTCAGTTTCGAGGCCCGGCCGTTCATGGGGCGAAGGTCCACGGTCTCCTTCTGTCCCTCGGCCCTCTTCTTGATCCTCAGCAAATTCCCGAGCTTTCGGGCTCAGCGATGGAGTCGGGCTTAGGGCTCCGAGCCGTAGGCTTCAAGGGGTTCCGGCTTGCAGTTCCACTACATACCGTCTTCGAAGCTTCGAACTACTGCACTGCGGCGATTCAGGCCTTGGGCCTTTAATTTGGGTGTTTCTGTGTTAAGGAGCACCCAGGGTTGACTTTGTTGTTTTCGCGCAGGGCATCTCCAACTGCTACGTAGTAGCCGGAATTCCCTGGCAGGAAGGGGTTTGGGGTTTAGGGCCAGCCCTACGTGCGAATCCCTGCATACAAACAGGAGAATGGCTCACCAAGAGCCTCAACTTGGAAACTGCCATCGTGCTCCCCACCCCCCAAACTCAAAACACCTAAACACCTAAACCCTAAACACCTAAACCCTAAACCCTAAACCCTAAACACCTAAACCCTAAACCCCTAAACCCTAAACCCTAAACACCTAAACCCTAAACCCCTAAACCCTAAATCCTAACCACCTAAACCCTAAATCCTGAACCCTAGAAGCTCCCCCGAGCCTTATACTGAAGCTCGAGCCGAACACCTTCAACATCAGGGCAGGGTTGGGGCCTTAGTTTTCCCTGGTCCAGGGTTTCGGGCTCTTGGTTTAGGGATTCATGGTCTTTCGGTTAGGTCTTCTATTGCCCTACCTTAACCTACCAAACCCTACTTTTTGGTAGGGCCCCCTTATACTCCAGATTAGGGTTCATAATAAGAACCTACAAAAATGCGCGGTTAAGGTAAGCTTTAGGCCTCTACCCAGGAACTAGGAAACGAAGATATGCCGCTGCCACCAGGAGTCTTCGTGGGCGCTTCCACCTTGGGGAAGGTGACATGGAGGTCACGGTGGTCCGGCATATCCTGGAATTTGCAGAAGAAGGGGATACTCGTCCAGCCCCCAGATAGTAAACAAGAGCAGCCTTCTTTAGGACACCTAGCTTTCGTACCAGATGAGCTTGGAATTGCGCTGGCAGCACGGTGCCCACCCCGAAACCCCAAAGGCGAGAATCGAAAACGCTCCGAAAGGCCCTCCTAACGTCTTGAAACCTAAACCCTAAACCCCAAACCCTAAACCCTAGACCCAGCCCTAGACCTTGAACCCCAAACCCTAAATCCTAAACCCAATGGCCGAAGCCATGAGCACCAGAAGCCCTCGCACAGAAGCCCGAAAGGCGACATCCCCATTTTTTAAGGGGCCGAAAGCCTTCTCCCTATACCCCATTGCAAATTAGCAAATACTGTAACAAATTCAGAGCTTAAAGGCAAGGGTACTTTCTGGAAACCCTTGACCCTAAAAATGTGACCTCCAACACCAAACTTCTTCGGCCAGCCCAAACTGTACTTGAAGGATGATGGGACTTAGTAAGTACGGTTATCAGTACCTTAATTGGGTGTTATAAGTATAGTTACCTTAATAGTAAACGTAATTACTAAGTTCCATGATCCTTTAAGTAAGACTGTAGACTCAGCAAAGTCATGAACTGCTCAAGGGTTGTCAAATTAGGGGCTAAATACCCTATGTAGCCCAGAAAAGGTTTACCTTTTCAATTCTGGTAGGATTGTATGAGCCCCGACAGGTTAAACGTTACCTACTCAGCTACTACAAAAATAACAGGCTCCCCAATCTTTGAACAACTGTCTCCCTTATCTCAGGGATGCGGGAAACTTAGCCAACGGATCACAGGCGAGAGTTTGCAAACAGGCAAAGAGGAAGATCCCGACGAAATGTGTCACACACAAATACAGCCGTTTCCTGATGCTCGAACAGACCGGAACCCTACTACCTTAACCCGTAACATATCCTGAAGCCTACACTCCTCACGCAATCCTACACCCCAAAACCCTAAGCGCTGTATCCAGAAATTTCCTGACACTGACACCTAACCCTCAAACGAAACCAGGATTTCTGAGCCCAACAAGCCAAAACCGAATGACCCTAATACTCTGGCCCAAAACCGAAGCGTCAGCCAAAGTTCCGGCTTCCAACCAAACTTCTGAATGGAGCGCGTCGGCAAGCTGCTCACCAGCGGGTTCTTGGGCATCCTTGGTTTGCGCAGTTGAGCGTGACCTTGAGTCTTAGCCTATTCCTTGTTAGTTAGGGTTTGAAGTTAGAAGTCATTCTGTAATATACCACCAAAACTCTACTCCAATGCGTTAAAGCCCCGACGTTGCCCTGCAAATATGGAGGCTCATTTTCAGAAGTGAGGCTCAAGTTGCTTGACCCCTTGAGCACAAGTACCAGCACATTCTGCCACGCTTACTTGTTGTAGCCTTGTAACCGTAAACGTGCCACCGCTCTGAAGTCTTGCAACTGGTAATGCAGGGCACGCAATACTTAACAATACTATCCTCATATTATATCGTTATGGTCAGTTATGGTGACCCACAAACCATGATCCAATTAAGGGTTCTACAGTATAGCCCTCGCTGGTCTGATGGCTTGCCGAATCTGACCCTAAAGCAGAGGACCCTTTCTGCATGATATATCACGCGCTTGCCGTTTCAGACGCCAAGGCACGTAAGCTCCACCTTCCTGGTGTTTTTGAAGCCCTCCACCCAGTTGATGGCCCAGAAGTCGTGGGCAAGAGCAGGGTGGCACATGTACTCGTAGGGCATGTAGAAGTAGCCCTTGTCACCCCACCTTACAGAAGACCAACATTTGATGTTTTCGGTTGCGGCGCAATGCAACATAGGCCGGCTAAGTTGAGACAAGTCACCCTTCTCCCCAGGAGTTGCGGACGATGAAGCACTGCTGGAAGTCATCGTAGCCCACGGCGCACACAGCGTGGCCGCCCAGCTGCTGGTCGGTTGCCTGGGGCATCACCATCTTGCCGGTCCTGGCAACCTCTGCGGTCTGAAAACTTGACAAGACAGCGAAACCGAAGACGAAGGGGTAGCCGTTCTTGATGCACATCTTGAACTGACTCAAGTCCTGCGCTACGCGGGCATAACCCACCACCTTACACTTCTGCGCCAGCTCGTAAGACTTTTCGTCTGGCTGTTGCTTGAAGAAGTCATGCTGGTCATCATACTTCCAAACACTCTCCGGGCAAACGCCAACCTTGGACATCACCTTGATGCCATCGCGGAGCATGGCACCAGCGTCCTGGTTCACGCTGCCCTCGACGAGGCGTTCGTTGTAGTAAATGAACAGTCGGCTCGGGGTGAAGTCTGCGAAATCTTTGTGGTTCTCGACCGTCATCTTATGGAGGGTGAAGTGGAAGGCTGCTGCCAAAGCATTGGCTGTGCAGCTGCCAAGGTGTCCCTGGTCAAAGATGGGGAAGCCACCGTTCATGGGTCGAAGGTCAACGATCTCCTTCTCCCCTTAGATTAGTTGAAGTCAAATTAAAAGCCGCAACTAGCATTGCACCCCAAGTGCCTGTTTTCGACGTTGAAACACGAGCCAAAGCAGACGAAACGAAATTCTTCACCCTTCCCTAAAATCCGCTCGATAAAAACCCTAAATCGTAGCATCCTTATTGTTCGTAACCCCGTGAAGTTTCAGAATAAGGAAAAACCCAAATCCAAACATCATCTTTTAACCGTTCGGCTCTTGACCAATGTGACCCGGAACGCGCGCAGGCTAACCTCTGCACCCTAAATCCTGAGATCATAGTAACCCTTCTGGAGCCCCCACGCCCTAATCCCGAAATTCTTAAGTGCTGAACCTCAGGCCGTATGATGTCGCTTCTGTAACATAACCCTATTGCTTATGACATATACGCATAGAAAACAACGCTAGTGACAACTAAGCCTTGTAGTGAACGTGAACAAATAGTAAAAAATGTAGTGTAGCCGCCTCATTACAAGTTTTAAGGTAACTACAAGCATTAAATCTTATTAAAGTTAGTTACCATTAGTTAATTACTACTAGGGTTTGTTGCTACTAGGGTGAATGACTACTGGGGTCAATCACTATAAAGATCAATCACTATTAGGGTCAATTACTATTCTGTTCAATTACTATTAAGGTCAATTACTCTTATGGTTGATTACTAGTAGGCTCAATTACTACTAAGGCTAATAAATATTCAGGTTATTTTCTCTTACGGTTGATTACTATTGGGGTCAACTACTCTTAGGGGGGTACTTGAAGGCTCTTGGGACTTAGTAAGTAAGGTTATAAGTAGGATATACTTAGGATAACCCCACTTAAAGGGGACTTATAACCCCAATTCTAACCTACTTACTAAGTCCCATGATTCTCTAAGTAGATAGTAGTTCCTTTTGGGATTACCTTATAGGATTCTAAATATGAACGCCAAAAAGGAACTATCATGGAGCCTATGGGTAGGGATAGTTCAGCGCCCTAAACCCTAAACCCTAGACCCCAAAAAGGAACCATGGGGCCTATGGGTAGGGTTAGCTTAGCCCCCTAAACCCTAGACCCTAGACTCTAAATCCTACCTTAACCCCGAAGAACCTACATTTTTAAGGACTTATATAAAGAAATCAGAATAAGGAAAATTAAAAAAGGTAGGTTATTCAGGGTTAAGGTAGACCCCAAACCCTGGACCCTAAAGCCCTTCATAGCATCGCCAGCCAGGGCTCCCTCGGCCTTCCTCTTGATCTGGCTGGGCGTGCTCACTGCGTCGAAGGTCACGTGGTGATCACCTGTACGTGTATGCGTACCATATATGTATGTGTATATATATATATACATGTATGTATATGTATACATGTAGATATTGTAAATATCTGCATAATACATAAAACATATACATATATATATATATATATATATAGATATGTAAATAGATAGAGAGAAGAGGTTGGCCGCTAAAAGTGAAAAAGGGCTCGGGGGTTTCTGAACGGCTCGGGCTTAATACAGGAGCCTTGATAATTAGAACAAATTTTTGGGGTAAGCTAGACTAACGCATACTAAGGAATAGTCGTATTTCCAATAGATATTCAGGCTTCTACATTAGAGGAGCTTGGGGGCTCTGGGTCTCGGGCAAGCAAGGGCAAGGGATCCTTGTTTCAGAGCCTCTTGAACTTGAGTGGGATTTCCAGCTGGGGGAAATGCTGAAGGAGAGCACAATGTGATGTCATCACTCAAGAAAATGAGATACTCAGGAAGGACGAGACAAAACCTTCCATTGGCCTAGTCACGATGATCAGGCATGTCAGGCTTCCACCCAAACTTCATGTTCGTACGCGTGGGAATGGATAGAAGGCTCGGGTGCTTCACTTCATCCACGCTCGCGATCTCGACGCTCTCGTTGTTCGCGGTGCTGCTGTTGCAGTTGCCCATCTTGCTCGCAGGAAGGAGGGGAGGGATCTGGGAAGGTGGCCACTTGAACCTTCGGAAGGACGCGAAGGCTGGACACTCAACGTACGAACATGGCACGAACTAAGCAATGCGTGCTGCGCAGAGGTTATTTATACTTAACAATAGTAATTGGAATTTGTATATATTTATAAATAATAACGTTTTTTAGTTGGACTGGAGCCTGTATCTTCCTCCATGTAAGATGCATCTGAAAGCTCCTTATCCCCGTGTCTTGGGCGCAGGGGAGTGTCCTTTAACTTGCCAAATGCCGCGTGCGCGACACCAACATCCCTCCTAAACTAGGCCCAGGCCCTGACACGAAAGTTGCCTGAACTTTGGGAGGGCGTGGGGCTTCGTGATTTCGGAAAAAAACATGAAAGCGTGAGTCAGAGTGATGCATCTAGCTTGGAGCTATCGGTCTGAAGCCTTCGGGATGCGTGTCAAAACAGCTTAACCCTAGACTCCGAACCCCCAAACCCTGAACCCTAGGCCTGAAACCGCAAGCACCGATAGAAGCTGCTGTGTAGGGTGTAAAACGCCGCGGTCGCTGTCGCCGTCCGGTCGCGGTCGTGGTCGCACAACTGGAAATGTACAGTCAAAGTCATCACACTGCACCACCAGGCTACACTACCTCAACCACGTCCACGAAGGACGCGGCTGATGCTCCTGCTACTTCTGATGCTGCTCACGATTCTATGTTCTCAAAAGTTATCGACAAAGACCATGATGTAGAGACACTATACCCTAAAACCCTACCCTAAAACCCTAAACCCTAAATACCCGTGACACAGCAAGCCTGCTTTGGAGCTCGCGGGCTCTCTTTAGCGTTGCTTCAACTTTGCTCCAACTCTCGCAACTCCCCAAAGAGCCGAAAGCCCTATTTCTGGTAGTTCCCCCCTTGGAGGGTCTTGGGTTAAGGGGTTTGGGGTTTAGGACTCTTTCGTCCGCGCATTCGGGCTTGCAGGGTGTCAGAGTGAAACTTCTCGCAACTACGCGAGAATGAAAATCTCGGTCCACCCTGAAGCTTAAAGCCGAAACAGAGCGCTACAGCCTTTACAAAGTTACAGTACCCTCGAGTCACCAACTGCCAGTAGTCAGTACTACTTTGCTTCCATAACAGCTGCACTGAGCAGTACATATGGTCACCACCTATCCGTATCGTCACACCTGCATTTCTTGTATGTTGCTTAATCTCTAGCTGGCATTTGCCCATACTACTCATAAACCCCGAGCCCTAAAGTGACGAGATACTGGCTCCGAGCATGTCCTGTTTTGAGATCATAGCCTATCCCAAGGGGTATAGTTGACTGCGGGGCTTTTATACCAGGAATTCCTATTATGATTTGGGGAAGTACCCTCCATAACAGTACCTAGGACCCTCTGGGTATCCTTGTGGGATCAGATCTCGACGTTCGGCATAATGAGGGTTTGGCTATACCCTTACACCCTAAACTTCACGCAAGCTCAGTCTTGTTTGGAGGGGTTGCTCTCCTCAGCCGGTCGGAGCTCCGGTTCTTCGTGCCTGGACTCGAAAGGCATCCGGAGGGTAATTTTGTCATATATATATATATATTCATATATATATATATATGTATATATTGGCAGAACCTCTTCAAGACAAAACCCCTGAAAAGAAACATAGTTCAACACCACCCGCATACGGAGTCTCGGCTCACCGTCGTGGCGCTGCATGCATGCGACTAATAATGTAGACTCAAGGTAGATAGATGCAGGCCAGCCAGGGTGTCAGGTATTCGTGAAATTTGTTATAATTACTGCTTATTCAGAATCTTAGCCCCGAAAGCCCTATGGCCAAGAGAACCCCCCATACCAGCCTCTCCTCACTTATTATCAACAGCTATGTTACTGCTCTCAAGACTAGGAGGCCTCCGACCAGGTGGGTCCTACGCCCTATAATGGCCCGAAGCTCTTCAAAACCCAGCCAAAACCCAATCAGGGAGGGGTGAAGAAAGATAGCTTGATGAAGGTTACAGTAGAGCTGACCCATAGTGGATAACAACACTTCATAGTGGCAAGGCCGAATCATATGCCGTCATGCTTTACATAACGAATAACAATGAGACCATCCGGCACGATTTCGGTCAGGCTATACTGCACATTGCGACTCGTCAAGCAGGACCTCCGGGGAGGTCTTTGTACTCCGTGGCTTAGCTTGTTAGGGAAGTCCCATGGAAGCACAGTGACACAGATGTATATGTGTACACAGGCCGACCCATACCATGTTTACATGGTGGTTTAAACACCGACTATGTATACAGTAGGACTATAGCTAATCTCTAGGGCTTGGTGCTGGGGTTTGAGCGAGTTTTAGGGCTCGGCATTG